GATTGTTCCTGTGTGTGAAGACTGAGCAGGTAAAACCTCTAATGTATGGTTTCAGTTAAAAAGACTCATAAATGTAACTCAGTCTGTTTAAAGAGACGTTGTCTTTGTACCTCTCAGGTTGATATCCATGCAGTGCTCATTTCCACCTGCATTGTTTGGTTCTCCTGGACCCCAGTTAGTGAAGGTGAAGGGGGTACCATCGACCCACGACCACTCACCGTGCTGTTAGAGTTCAAACATCAGATCTGTTTTAACATTTAGAGAACTCTAAATCTCTCTAACTGTCAAGTTCCTTATGTTGTATACTTGTATGCTACTAAAACAAAAACCAACACAAAATCCTCACATCATGTAAGTTGGTACCTCCGACCCAGGTTGTGGTGTTGGTTCCTGTGGTTTCAACAATGAGTCTCCTCAGGAAGGCGTACTGATCCGGTCCCTGAATGGAGGTCAGGTGTGCATCATACAGGCTGCAGGCCTCCTGTGTAGAAAATATTTGAAAATACATCACTGTAGTGTAGGATATACAAGACTTCTGACCAAGATTTGAGCAGAAACCATTGGATTTAAAGTAAAYATGATGCTTTGAAATCCTTCAGTTGGGTCTTTATTTAATGGAACTACAGCWTTGCTCTGAATTCCTCCTTATTCTAACTTCACCAGATCCTCTTTCAACACTTTCCTGCTGTGTCTCAAATAGGGATGGGTACCTTTGACGTTTGAATGGATTCGGTACCAATATCCTGTACCTGGGAACCGGTACCGGTACTTAACGTTACAAATTTTCGGTATTTTGTGTTTGTTGTTTTTTTCAATAATAAACTTTATTTTTTTTATTTAACTTATTTGTCAATATATAACATTAACAAATATCAAGACAACATCCAACTCTTTGTATTGTAACATCGGTTTGTAACTAATTTCTTTAAAGTGAAACTCTTGAAAGCAACAAAACTGTTTTGTCCTATTGCGCAAATTAATATCCAACTCCAAGGGTTTCTGTTGATGTCATTTTCCCGCTAGAAAAACTGTGTGATGGAGGTCCATGGAAGGCAAATAAGTTTAAATCAAATAAGCAAAAGAGGATTGAGTTCAAATAAATAAAAGRTATTCAAGCTACGTTTTGAGCATCCAAAACACACCCAACACTTCAAGTTGGCTGGTTGTGCTCTTTCAGGTCAGACACGTTTCGACTGTTTGCAAGTGCCTCTGTTGTTTTCCTCTGCTGGTCTCTGTTTAATGGAGGATGAAATAAAGAAAGTGGAGGTACTTTATTTACTTTGAGCAAGTGAACGTCGTGCTCACAAGATAATTATTCCACCAGATAATTCAGTGGTGGTCTGTTCAGCGATTTTTACTCCAGGAGCTGCGAGACTTTCAAGCTACGTTCAGACTGAACCCTGTTTACTGTCTGAACCAGCGGCTTCTGCTGACGTCATTACACTTTTGCGTGATTCTGCGTTCAGGACAAGCATGGAAAACTCACCACTCTTATGCCAAACCGGTCACAATGATGCGTTTAGGTACCGAAACATGGTACAGTTTGATGTTACATGAATAGATGCTCGGTACTACCGACAGATTTCGGTCTTTACATCAAAAAGTATTGAATTCGGTGCCCATCACTCTCAAAGCAGCTCGTTTTGTTACTGTTCCTTTAAAACGCTTCAAGCCCCGCCCCTTCCGGCTTCCAGACCGGTCCACTCCGGATTGAGGGGGGTCACATTTGATTTATTTATTTAACAGGAAAAGATTATTAAAAATCAAGCCTGACTCAGCATAATTGCTGTTTTACAGCAGGTTCCTGTTCTGCAGCACATAAAACACTCAGAATTACAGCATCACAATC